TTCTATCTCTTTCTATCTATCTATCTTCTATCTTTCTATCTTTCTTCTATCTATCTATCTCATGTATGTTTCATATCAGTTGTCTAATCTTTAATCATTAGCTTCTTTCTTTCTTTTTCTTTCTTTCTTTCTTTCTTTCTTTCTTTCTTTTCTTTTTTTTTCTTTCTTTCTTTCTTTCTTTCTTTCTTTCTTTCTTCTTTCTTTCTTTCTTTCTTCTTTTTCTTTATCTTTTATCTATTCTTTCTATCTCTCTTCTTCTTCCTCTTCCTTCTTCTTCTCTCTATCTATCTATCTATCTATCTATCTATCTATCTATCTATCTATCTATCTATCTATCTATCATATCTACTGTATGTATGTAAGATTAAGATTACAGATAAGATATAAGGAGTGACATCCTCATTGCATGAAATAGCCTTCATCAGACTTGTACAAGGGTTTATGGGGCATTTTATTGTACGAGGTTCCTCTATTGACAAGTGTGAAGTTGATTCTCCTCTGCAGGAAGACAATAATCCGCTTAATTGAGCCACTAGGGAACCGCTATCCTTCAACCAGAAACTCCCCACCGAACCCGGCGAAGCAGCAATGCGCCTTCCCTGCGCTGCTCCTGTCCGCCTGCCCATAGCGGGGAAGCCTACCGACACCAGCCTGGTGGAGTCATTATCCTACCCGACTACATCGGATTGGAAAATAAATAGTAATACAATTCGATAAAATAAACGAATAAACTCAGTCTTCCTGTGCACCTGTGTATGCATGTCTAGCCCTGGCACATACATATACATATATACACCTATATATACAAAGTCATCAATATTTTACTAAACCTGCTAATTTAAACATCCATTTTTGCAAATGTACACCTAGTTTTCAATAATAAAACACTTGAACTGCAAAACACTTCTATAAACAATAAAATAATAAATACATAAATCAACCACAGAGATAGATAGATAGATAGATAGATAGATAGATAGATAGATAGATAGATAGATAGAAAGAAAAAAATCTTCACCAGTATACGTATAGGAGATCTTGTGAGAGAAGATTTTTAACTACTTTTTTTATTCTTTTTTTTTACGAGAGTTATTTTTAGCCGAGTCCAATGAAATTTGAAAATCGCAGTCACATGACCGAAAGTAAAGATCCTCAATCTTGATTTAAAGATTGTGAATTGAATATTTTAAACTGTAATAATCTGACCCATTCAAAGGTGGAATAAATGAGCTGCATTTGCTTTCAATTTAATTCATGTATTTTTTTTTTGCCTAGTAACCTAACAAGGGCAATAAAAAATCAACATTTCTTCTAGGAACTGGAGAGATTTCAAAGTTTTGTAAATGAAAGCAGCGTTTTGGGTTTAATATAAAAAAAATAAATAATATATATAAAAAATACAACATAAAAAATGGAACCGGATTAACGAATTAGTCAAACGATCATAACAAATCTGGCTCTGTAAAAGTTAATGCATAATTTAAAAAGAATATAGATAGATTTTTTTTTTAGAATACTTTTAAATGGAATGTCTTTTGAATGATGCCCGAGCTGTGCCTTTAATCTTTAATGTCAGATTTCCCCTAATTGCATGGTAATAGATAGACCCGGCTTGTACAACTAATTTGGAGAGCCACTTTTATGTTAATTCGTTACATATTTATTCTTAATATTTCGATCAGATAATGAGGCCTCTAAGGGGAGGCTTATGGTGTCGGGATTTTAATTCATTTTCCTTTTTCCGCATCCTTCAACTAGCTGCACTTCCTTGGTTTTAATTGTTTTTAAATAATTTTATTTATTTTATGTATTTAATTTAGTTTTTTGTGTATTTTATTTAATTTTATTTTCTAATTTTTTAATGTATTTTATTCAGAAAAAAAAAATAACTCTATAAATGTAAAATTTATTAACCTTACTGATCCTTCTTTGAAAAAAAAAAAAAACAATAATGTTTTTTAGTTTCTTTTGTGTTTTTATTTTAATGTTTTTGGTTACATGTGTGATGTTGGCTGCCCAGGCGCAGCGACTCACCTTTACCTTTGTATTCTGATTCTGAGGATGTGGAGCTGCTGCTTTTCTCCAGTTTGTCCCTAAAGTCCTCTGCAGCTTTGCTGGACAAGCAGTGACTCAAGTCCTGGGCTGGTTGCCCATTGCTGGAGTAAGGGGCGCAGGTGGCCAGTGGCTTGCAGTCCGCTAGGATGTCCCGGATTAAAAAGGAGGAGGTGACGGTCCTGGACTGGGATGGAGCTGAGAGCTGGACCCCTGGCTGCAGGTGGGATTCAATGGCCAAGGCGACCCCTTGCCTGGTGTTCACCGAGTCCAGGCATTCTCTAGACGGGGAAGGTGGAGAGGAGCACAGGCTGCTGACCTCAGACCTGGGACTGAGCTCCAAGGGGGACCTGCTCTCCCCCATCAGTGGGTCCCCTTGGGCGAGCCCTGGGCTACCAGCTCTGTGGGACAAGATGGTGTCAATTCCAAACCCGTTGGAGCCCTCCATGCCGGTCAACTTTCAAAATGTCATTGAGCCTTGAAGAAGCCAGCAGAGAAGAATCGGTGGCTGTTAAATCCCCAAGTTTATAGGACCTTACAGTCTTAGACCAGGTCCCCATCCATGTGTCCTGCAAGTTCTTCTCCAGCCAAGGTGTCCCGGTAAAAGTCCCAGTTATGGCCAGTTCTGTAAGGTGGGTGGCCAGGAGCCCTCAGAAGAAGAAGAAAAATCAATGGAAGGTCTGAGCAATGGAAGCAGAACAATGATGGTAAAATCGATGAGTGGAGGGAGAGAAGGCTTCAGCTCTGGAGGAGATACAGGATGGCAGAAAGTGGAAGGCTCTGATCTCTCATCAAACACAACAGCCAAGGCAGGGGGTCATCAGCTGACACGTCCCATCCCAGGGACCCTCTAAGAACCAGGCTGGGACCACTGAGGACCAGGGAGACTTTCAGCACCTTGGAGAGCGCCTGAGCGCTGAGGCTGACGCCGGCTACCCCACAATGCTCTAGAATCCACAGAGAGAAGGGTGACCAGCTCTGGTCCTGTCCTGTCCTGGTCTGGTCACCAGCCTTACAGGGTCCTCTTCTCTCCTCCACACCTCTTACGCTCTGTCCTCTTCAAAGGCCACCGGGGAGGGGGGTCTGCCCAACTCACATGTCTCTGTAGTGGAGTGTGGAGGGGGAGGGGTGGCGGTGTCCACACTCTCAGATCTCCTTCCACTTCTGTCACTTCGCCTCTTCCTTCTCCGCACAACTTCTGTCACTTCGCCACCAGCTCCGCACTGTCAGCGCACGTGTCAGCGCACACTCCGCTCTCATTGGCTGCGAGGGATTCCCCCACCCACTTTTTTTGGGGGCTGATGTCACACTATGAAAAAAGAGAACCTGATCCCCCTTTCAGTTTGATTAAAAGAGACAGTGAATTAATTACAGCAGCTCACGGCCCGGTGTTTACAGCCAATTTCCACCTTGTTTGCTCTCATCCCATCATTCATCAGGATCTAATGATGGGATTAACCCTGTCCTGCCTGCCTGCACGACCACCTCCCGCACTGCCTGGGCGGCTATGGGCACGTGGGGCTGACAGGAACGTCCCGACCATGGTGCACACCACCACCACTACTACTAGCAGCATTATTACTACTATCATCATCATTATTACTACTACTAGCATCATTATTACTACTACCTACTATCATCATTATTATTATTATTACTACTACTATCATCATCATTATTACTGCTACCTACTATCATCATCATTATTATTATTACTGCTACTATCATCATCATCATTATTAATACTATCTACTATCATCATTATTATTACTACTACTATCATCATTATTACTACTATCTACTATCATCATTATTATTATTACTGCTACTATCATCATTATTATTATTATTACTACTACTATCATCATTATTACTACTACCTACTATCATCATTTTTATTATTACTGCTACTATCATCATCATTATTACTACTACCTACTATCATCATTATTATTATTACTGCTACTATCATCATTATTACTATTACTATCATCATTATTATTATTACTGCTACTATCATCGTTATTACTATTACTACTACTATCATCGTTATTATTATTACTATTATTATTATTGCTGCTACTATCATCATTATTACTAATACTACTACTATCATCATTGTTACTACTACCTACTATCATCATAATTATTATTACCGCTACTATCATCATTATTACTACTACCTACTATCATCATTATTATTATTACTATCATTATTAATATTATTGCTGCTGCTATCATCATTATTACTATTACTACTACTATCATCATTATTACTACTACTACTATCATCATTATTATTATTATTACTGCTACTATCATCATCATTATTATTACTATTACTATCATCATTATTATTATTACTACTACTGTCATCATCATTATTACTACTACTATCATCATTATTATTACTACTACCTACTATCATCATTATTATTATTACTGCTGCTATCATCATTATTATTATTACTACTACTATCATCATTATTATTATTGCTGCTATTATATTTCATCATTTATTACTACTACATCATAAATTATTATTGCATATCATCATTATTATTATTACTGCTACTATCATCATTATTATTATTGCTGCTACTATCATCACTATTACTATTACTACTACTATCATCATTATTATTATTACTGTCATCATTATTACTACTACTATAATCATTATTATTACTATCATCATTATTATTACTACTACTATCATCATTATTATTACTATCATCATTATTACTACTATCATCATTATTATTACTACTACTATCATCATAATTATTACTATCATCATTATTACGACTACTACTATCATCATTATTACTACTACTACTATCATCATTAGTACTATTACAATGGGCACGTGGGGCTGAGGATAACATCCCAACGATGGTGTAGACTATTACTACTACTACTATTTATTATTATTACTACTACTACTATTATTGTTTTATTCATACTATGGGCAGGTGTAACTGAGAATAACATCCCAAAGATGGTGTAGACTACTACTATTATTTTTGAATATTATTATTACTACTATTATTATCATTAATACTAAGGGCATTAGTTGACTGATAATAATTCTAACCATGGTGTAGACTATTTTACTACTACTATTAATATTATTAATTATCCTTAATTTTAATAATATTTAATAATGATATGGGCAATCCGACTTAATATATGCCAACCATATGCATTTACTATTTATAATAATAAAATAAAAATAATTTTTATTATGGGCATATTTATTTTTGACTTTTTAATAAATATATTATTTTAACCATGGTGCATTTTTACTATAATAATAATTTTAATAATAATAATGATATGGGCATATCCGACTGGTAATATTATGCCAACCATGGTGCATACTACTACAATAATAATAATAATTATTATTATTATTACTATTTATATTGTTACTAATACTAAGAGTACGTGTGACTGATAATAATATCCCAACCATGGTGGATCATATTATTATTGTTGTTGTTGTTGTTACTAATACTATGGGTACGTGTGACTGGGAATATTATTCCATCCATGGTGTATTTTATCACTACAATTATTATTGTTTTTTTTTTACGTGTGACTGATAATAATATCCCAACCATGGTGTATACTATTATTATTATTTATTTTTACTATGGGCACGTTGTGACTGATAATAATATCCCAATCATGGTTATATAATATTATTATGATGATGATTATTATAATTACTATTATGCACTTGTGACTGCTAATATTATTACAGCTATGGTGTTTTATACCATTATTATTATTATTATTATTTTTTTATCATTTGTTATTTTATGTGTGGCTTCTAATATTATTTCAGCTATGGTGTATTATATATTAGTATTTACACAGCACCTTCCTGAAGACTGCTAATATTATTCCAAATATAGTGCATTATACCATTATTATTATTATTACTACTAATTTTATTTATACACAGCACCCTTACAGTCCATGGCTTTTTTCTATAAGCACGTGTTTGACTGCTAATATTATTCCAACTATGGTGTAATAGGCCAAAATGATTAATATTATTATTATTATCACCATTATTATTACTACACGGTATCCTATAACAGTCCATGGATGAAGGCTGCTCTGCTAATAGTATACTACTAATATTAGTGGCATTTATATCTATATGTAATTATTATTTTTTTGGGGTTTTTTTTGTACACAATACCCTGACACACCATGACTGCTGCAGACACTTGTGACAGTGGTGTATTAAACTATATTATTTTTGTTTGCATTATTATTTACTTTTTTTAGTAATGCTACTACTAGTCAGCTACTTTTTGTCCATTGATGTAGCCTAGTATAGGCAGGTGTGACCGTGTGACTGATAATATATTTTTTTTTTTTGAATGTATTATTTTATAATTTTGATTAATATTTTATGTTATTACTACTAATACTATTACACATTACTATGACATTCGGTGGTTGCAGGCAGCTATAGACACGTGTGACTGCTAATGTTATACCAACTATGATGTATTATCTTCTTTTTATTTTTTTTAGTTTTTTTATTTTTACTACTACGCATGACTCTGATTTTTGGTTACTATAGCCACGTGTGACTTTTTAATATTATACAAACTATATATGTTGCATATTTTTTCTTTTTTTTTTTTTTCTATTTTTTTTTTGCCTTTTTTTTTTTTCATTCTAGCCGGATACACAGAATTTTTTTTTCAACCTTTACTAATTTTTTTTTATTTTTTTTTTTTTTTTTTTTTTACTTTTTTTTTTTTTGCACACATTTTTTTTTAGTAAAACTATCTCTTTTTTTTTTCCCCCCCCACCCCCCCCCCCCAAAAAAAAATAATGTAAAAATATAAATATAAAACCAAAATATTTTTTATATATTATATATTTATATATATATATAAATTTTTTTTACACACATTTTTTTTTTTTAATTTTTTCAGTTTTTTTTTTTTTGTGGTTTTTGCATGTTAGTCATTGTTATTCCAATGGAAGGGATACACTTAGTATTAGTTAGAATTTTGTTTTTTTTTTTTGGATATCTTGGTGTAGGTCCTTTATTTATGGGATATTGTGGAGATGGAGGACCCAGAGGTGACAATGTGAATGGTGCATTTTTTTTGGACTGTAGCAGTCCCCCTGTCCCTGGCTACCTGTCATGTGCAGTTCAGTATATTGAGGTGACATGTCTATCACAGAATGGGCAGGCCTCGTTTTCAGAGGCAGATGTAGAATGATGACAAAGACATAGAGTTGTATCGGATTGTACAGGGCAAGGGGAATGAGGAGCCAAAGAGCACAAATATGGAGGGGGACTTAAACATTTTGATGAGTTTTTTTTTTTTTTTTTGTTTTTTGTTTTGTGTGGGGGTGTGTGTGTGTTTTTTGTTTTTTTGTTTTTTTTTTTTTTTTTTTATGTTTTTT